GTCCCTGCATTTCAAAATGGCTGTGGGGGCACTTTCACTGTAGCTTGTTGAATGAGCTTTAGTTAAAGCACTCCCACCTCCATTTTTAAGTGCAGGACACTGAATACACGTGATGGTACAGGCGCTTTAATTAAAGTGTTCCCCTCCCCCCACCCTGGAGCATAAGTATAGGCCGGCTAATACTTTATAGTTAACTGAGGACAGAAGTATGAGTTTCATGACAAAGATGGGAATTTCCCCTTCCAAGAGCCATAATTTTGTTTCTAGTCCTGAAGACATTTAAGTGCAAACTTCAGTGACTAACTGTGACTGTTTAACTGGATGTGCTTAACACTCTGTTTCTACTCCTCTTTATATAGTTTTAAAAAAATATAGAATTAAATGCAAAAACCTATTAATGTGATATTAAGGCTTAATCAGTAAATCATTATAAGAATTTCAAGAAATGCAAAATTTAAGATTTCAAAGGTTATGGTAACTTAGTCATTTTGCATATTTACTGTAATACAAAGCCTACATTAAAAAACTATTATATAGGCTGCAAAATCAAGGACTTGAAAGTTAGGACATACCAGAGTTATCACTGTCCATGCAACCATAACTCACCTTCTAGCATGAGTGTATGTGTATGTGTGTGCATATATCTCATCTTTCATTAAATGCCAACATACTATTTTATCTATAGCAGTGGTGCTTGAACTCTGGCCCACCAGATCGAGCCTGCAGAGCTGTGTTATTCAGCCCATGGGTCTCCCCACAGGCTAGAAATTTGGCGGTGGGGAAGCAGTGCCAGCATTGATTGCTGTTCCACTGCTGCTAAATTTCTGGAGCCAGAGGGAGCCCTGTGGGCCAGATGCCAGGACCTGGAGTGCTAGATTTTGCTGATGCATGGTGGGACTGGCACACAGTGTCATCCCATGGCCATATCTGGCACACAAGGTTGGGCTGGCAGGCAGGGTCAAGCAGGTATGCGAGGTCAGGTTGTGTGAGATATTGGGCCAGAGCAGCCAGATCCAGCATGCTGGGTTGCACCCATGAACTGACCCCATCTGCGTGATCTGACCCACAGACCAGGCCTACAGCACTCATCTTGTCTGGAGACTGGTCCTGCAACAATCATTCAGCCCACAGGGCTGAACGTTTGAGCACCACTGGTCTACAATGACTTTTGCTGCATTCATCCTTAAATCAATATTTTGTTTTATCCTCATTGTCCAGTGCACACCATACAAACCCAAACACTATACTGCACTCTAAGCAAGCCCTGTTCTGAGGACAGAATTATTATTTCTTTTCGGTCTTCTGTACAGATAGGGAAGTGAGACACAGTGGCCACGTCTACACATGTGCTTTACTGTGGCGTAGACTACAGTAATTAGCTGCAGAGTAAAGAATCACCATCTACACACACAACGGTATTAGGCCACAGTAAACTAATTTACGCTGCAGTAAGACAGTACTATCTTATGCTGGGGTAATTTACCATGATTAAATGCACGTGTAGATGCTGACCATGGGCGCAAATTACACCCAGTCAATACAGCCAGCTAGGGGCCAGACTCCTGCCTGCCACCTAGTCACACAACTCTACACTTTTGGCACCATCATGCCCCAGCCTAGCACCTCTGCTGCTCTATGCTACCACCTGGAGCCTGGGGCTGAATGGCTCTGGCGTAAACCACTCTGCTCCAGCTCAAATTAATGCCAAACCAGGTGTATGTGTAGAAACTGCACCCAGGAGTAGTTTACTTTGGCTCCAACTGCCCTGGAGTTTATTGCTTCATATTAATTGCATGTGTAGACACACCCAGTAGGATTAAAGTGAGTGCACTAATTCTAGTGGCTCAATTTGACACACCTAGGACTACTTCTCAGAATATGTAACAATGCATAGCAGGCTATATGTTCAGTTGACATCTCTTATTGGATATATATGTGCAGCACTGAAGGTCAGCATTTCCACACATCAAGTCTTGAGCGGGCAGAAAATAAGGAACACACAATTACTGGTCACCTTGAAAACTTGTGTTAAGTGATTTGTCTAGCATCCCACAGAACTGTAATAGAGGCAGAGATAGTATTCAGTTCTTTTTCTACAACAGTTGCTTTGTATAACAGAAATTCTTCCATTTATTTTGCTCTTTTAATGTTTTAGTTATATTCATGCTTTACAAGTAATAAAAAAGAACTAAGAACCAGATTACCTGATACATTTTCATTTTAAAGAAGGCTGAGACATAATTAATTCCAACTCATATAAAGGTTACTAGCCAATTGCCCATCGAGAATGATGAA